CCAATTCCCAGTGTGAGCTCTCTGAGTGATCCAATATGCAACCATACTCTGTGTGAAGCCTGCACTGTTCAAACACGCTGCTGCATTCCTGTGTGCACTCCTTGCACTATTAACAACAATCCGTGTACCCATTGCACTGCTTACCGGTTAATCCGTAATGATGGGTTGGGTGCATCAGTAGTCTGCAAACCAAGGGGACCGCGATGGGCAGCTCTGCTGCCCCATCATTCGCTAATCTGTTTATGGGCTTTTTGGAAGAGATTTTCATTTACCCCTCAGAGCTATTTACGAACCATGTGGTACTTTGGGTCCGTTACATCGATGACATTTTTGTCATATGGCAGGGTGAGACGGCCACCTTCCATATCTTCACCGAGTTTCTCAACTCTATTTTTCCAGGGATTATCTTCAACCCTGAGTTCAGCAATGACCACATAACTTTTCTTGATGTACTGATCAATATGTCTGATGGTCAGTTACATACGACCCTATTTAGTAAACCCACCGACCGTAATACGATCTCACACTACCGAAGCTCCCACCCCCGACACCTACTGGACAATCTACCCATATTCCAGTTCATGCGGGTCCTGCGTATTTGTTCTGACAAGGACGCATGCTGTGCACAACTTAAAGCCATGTACAGCAAGTTCCAGCAACGGGGCTACCCGGTAACCATATTAGACCGTGCCCTTGACCAAGCCACCACCAAGATGTCGTCCACGACGAGGAAGGATAAACCTTCAGTAGATAGAATTCCATTTATTCAGAAATTCAATGGTGCATCATGCCTAATACATAGGTCCACCACCAAGAATCTAAGCATTCTTCAAGCTGACAGAAGTCTAACCACACAGATTAAGACGGCACCACTGCAGGTATACCGCCGCAGTAGAAACCTGAGGGACCATTTGGTCCAGGCTGATCCCAGACACAAGTACTTGCGCACGCCCACTAGGATTTCGCAACGCACAGGTTGCTACAAGTGCTATAACTGCAACATCTGCAGTGCACTCATTGTGGGAGATACGTTTGCACATCCCCACAGTGGCAAACGATACCGCATCAGGGGCTACCTAAACTGTGTCACCGAAGCATGTGTCTATTTACTCAAGTGTCCATGTGGCCTTGTCTACGTGGGCAAGACCATGGGACCGTTCAAACGACGGTTTCAAAAACACTGCAGCGACATTAGAATTGCAATCACCAAGACCACAGCCGGTGATACTCCACAACTGAACAAACCGGTAGCTGTCCACTTTGCCAACCTTCGACACCAGACCCACGAGTTACGTGGGATGGTTATCGAACATGTGGCAACACCACATAGGGGTGGGAACCATGATAGGTACCTTCTCCAACGAGAAGCCTACTGGATCCACACACTAGATACCACCATACCCAGGGGCCTCAACACAAGCCTCACGCTAACGTGCTTCTTACCAGATCACTAAACGCGATTTTATCAGGGCATCCCGTACCATATGGTTGATCATGTTTTTCATGTTTTCTTCTTTTTTTTTCCCCCTCCCCCTTGGGTGGCCCTACCGCCACAGCTGGGACTGGATAACTTAACACTCACAATTACAATGATGGTTTTTTTCGCTTTTTTCTTTCCCTTTTTGCCTCTGATCCGACCTATTTTTCGCTTATATGTTGCTCTGCTCCTTACTATGCACCACATACGTGCCCAAGCGTTCTGCTTTATTGGTTTACATATGTGTCAGATGACGCTCTTTATTGCATATCGATTATTTATAGTTTATCATGCATATATCATGCGTTGCCTTGAATATGAAGATGCACATGTCTTTATTCCTATCTTTATGCTTATTATGTACACGTTGCTCCAATGGCCAAGCGTTCTGCTTTATGGGTTTACATATGTGTCAGATGATGCTCTTTATTGCATATTGATTACTTATAGTTTATCATGCATATGTCATGCGTTGCCTTGAATATGAAGATGCACCTGTTTTTATTCCTATCTTTATGCTTATTATGTACACGTTGCTCCGACCAGGAGAAATACTTGTGTCTGGTCACATATGTTCACATATTTCTGCTCAGCACATGAAATGTTGAAGCACCCACGACCCAGGCCCCTACATGGAGCTATACTGCCAGGCTACCCCTACGCATGCACAGCGTGACTACCTATATGCCACCTTTGAGTGCTGATCACCCCTAACTGGGCACACTTTTGCATGCCATACGCTCTCCCAGTGCCTTAGCTCCTGCTGCGAGCGGCACTGTCCTGCCGCTGCCATGACAACCAATGACGTGACCGGCACTTCGCCCTGCCCCCGCTTGAATACGATCGCGGGATAGGTTACATCCCTATCAGTGCCAGTCACTCACTCCCTCCTCTGCACGCGTGCACCTGTCACATAGGGCAATAAGGTTCTCTCCCAGCGCTGTATTTAGAGCCGAGACAGCAGCGGTCGTGACAGCAGCCGCCGTGACGGCAGTGTCCAGCCAATGTCACGGCAACCGATGGCGCGGCAGGCACCACGCCCCCCTGGACGTGCCCGACCTATCACCACAAGGCACATACCCAAAGCATTAGCTCTCCAGCGGCTGGCCTCGCCCCCCGATTCTCCGTTCGGTGTCCCTGTAACAGCTGCCTGGCAGCCGTTACACAGACACATAGCCCCAACAACAGCACGGTACAAATCTTATCATCACAGACATTGCATCACCCATGCTTGGCTGCATCGACATAACACAGATTATAACTATGTTTTGAGCAACCCTCACATATATACAGTAACACTGTACTTTGAATTGTGGCGGGAAATGACGTCATAGGATCACTTTTGGGCAGTGGGATTGGTCTCCTCACATACAATGATGTATATAAATACTTGTCCATTTCTGTTTGCAATTCTCACTTGTTCTGCCTGATGAAGGGGATCCTGTGTGACCCCGAAACTTTGCAATAAAGTGTATTGCTGCATGGAACGTCAATAAAATACGTTTTTCTACTGTGGAGTGCCGGTGTCCATAATTTCCTACTCATTGCATTATTATCCCTGCAAACTGTGGTACGATTTGCAATATAGAATTAGAGGAAAAAAGGCCAAGTAACATAAACACATGTAAGTACTTGGGTAAAAATTGGGTAAAAAGAAAAACTTTGCTAGACAATGTATATTTGATCTAGATTCATAGTTGAAAAAAATGTTTTGGCGTTTAATACTACTTTAAGATACTGTGTGGATGGTACAGAACACGAGATGTCATTCCAACTTTTCACCCTAACTTACCAGGCTGAAGTGGGCATTGTGGCGCACACAAAGGGTCCTGCCTAAAACTAATCACTTTTTGGAATATAATAAAAGCTTTCCTTTTTACTGAATGTTATTAACTAATTATATAATTCCTAATGACAACTCCTCCTTTCTTCTCCTCAACAACCACAACATACCAACAACAACTACATACAACAAGTCCATACTCGAGCATCTTCTTAATGCAGCAAAGGCATGCATCCCTTTGACATGGAGAGATACTACCCCCCCTTTCCGTTAGTCAGTGAATCCATAGTTGAAGAGATCAAACAGGTTACCTGAGTTCCTCACTCAAAAACATTTCAATCAATTCCAGTGGTCTTGGCATTACTAGACGATCTTTACATTTTTGGAGGAGTGAAAGTGATTAATGGGCTGAAATAGTCTGTGAATAAATTTAGAGCACTCAGATGTTCTCTTACCTCATTGGTGGGAGGGAGACCCCACACTCCTAACACTTCTTTTAACACCTTACACCCCCACATATACTCCCTTTTGTACCCCCCTCACCCCCTTATGTCAATACAATACTGGCATTTGAATTTATCTGTGTGCTTCACAATGTAACTTAATAACTGCTCTGAGTTGTACCAAAAATAAAAAAATAAATGTAATTTGTAATTATGAGATACTGCAAATAAAAATGTGTTCCATGTAGGCCCTGATTATATGTTAGACACAGTAGTGTAGTGCCTATAGGTGGCACTAAAACAAGGGCAGCTTAAATTGTTGTTTTATGTTCCATTAAAGTAGGGCTGCAAAATTGCTATTACCTGTCTGTTAGTTGTAGTGAAGAGAAGGTGACAATAGTTGTGGTACTATACAGCCAGGTGCACCAACTTCCTTTTGCCCCCTGCCTGCCAATCAACCCCCCAAACTGGACCAAACACAGATTCTCCATTGGCAATGTTTGAATGCACCTGCAGTGATGTAGGCAAAGCCTCCACTCTAATCTAAACTCTCCTGCCAGGAGAAGATTATTAGGTCAGGCTGAGCTCGCCAGCAACACTGGAGAATCAGAGAATTAGGCACTGTGCCTTTGAAAACATGGACATTGCACAGCTAGCTGCCTAGACTCTATCTGTTGCTAATTATTGTTACACTTGCTGTGCATTCTGAACTTATTTTGACTCAAAGGTCAGGAGATTTTGCATTCTGTATACAGGCATAACTGAAAGCATTGGTGAATTTCTAGCTTACCTGGCATTAACCCTTTTCATACTCTTTTTTTTTTTTTCTTCAAAGGCACCAAATACCATCATTCACTGGCAGTAAAGCTTTATGTTCTATATATAAAATTATATCACGTGCTTCTTTCAAAAGTGTCTGCCTTATGGTGAGAACAGCAGTGCCTTATGTTCATATAACCCACCTACAACACAATGGATGTTGTCTGCACGCAAGACAAAATTGTGCCTTTTCAGCTTTTAATAGATTCCATCACAACACAATCTAAAATGAGGATTTTGCGGGGCTTGCTTTCTGCAGCCTGATCACTATGCCAATAGATGTGTGGGATGTTGTTGTCATGTGGTTGGCTAAAGACAACCACCATATTCAATATACACTTTTAAAGTATTATTTATATTTTCTTCTTAACCAGAAATGACTGTAAATTTTCAACTGTAGTAACCACATTTTACAGTTCATGTGCAAAATAATACATTTATTTCAGAATGTTAACTGATGCGTCCTTTCTTTCTGCAGATGCTGAATGACTTAAATACCTACCTTAACAAAGCCATTCCCGACACCAAATTAACAATCCGGAAGTACCTTGATGTAAAGTTTGAGTACTTGGTAAGACAGATGTTTGTGCATAAACAAAGCATGTAGAACAATAATGTCAATATACCTTAAATAGCTTAATGTTCACTGATGCCTGTGTATTTAATCCTGCACTTCATAATCAAGAAGTAGAGATATTGGGGTCACTCACGTCATTGGAGAAAAGTATGTCATGTATGACTAACCTTATAACAAAATATCGGAAGCCAACCACACTCAAAGAAATATATGCTGCCCTGACTATACTGTACAGCACAGCTATATTTTTTGCTCTAAATTCCTAACGTGATCAAATGAAGTGAACACTACTTGGGACTAGTGCATTGATGTGGTGGTGATTTACACACAGCTGGGTGCAGCAGTGGTCGCTCTTTGGCTTTAGAATTAGTGGTCACTCTCATGTTATGGCCTAAGTCACTTCTGGCTATCCTAACCGCTTCTAGGTTAATAGCAGAGGCCACTAGTCTGCGTATCCATTCTTGGTCACCAGTCCCTGTATTCGGTGGTTGCTCCCTGTATCTAGGTGTTTTCTAGCCTGGCCCCTTTCTTGAGCCACTTTCTAAGTATATAAAAGCAATATCTGTATCTATATATAGTTCAGTATATGTCCACCACTGTCCTAAAATTGTTAGTCTGTATTGTTTTAGAAAAACTGTCACATGACACAAAAAGAAAAGGTAGTGACAAGCGGTGGGGCAGGGGGCCCAAGAAAATGTTTGCACAGGGTCCAGTCAATATTAAAGATGGCCCTGGGCCCTTCACCGACCCCCCTCTGCCCTTTCACTCACTTGTAGATCACATGGAGGTACCCCACAGCACGTTTCCTGCCCACCAGATCCTTCCGTTGCTGCTTTAACACAGACGCCTCCCGTGGTTTAGCAGCTCAGCTGTGTCTGGGCAGGGCCTGTTTCAGGCTGCCCGACGATTGGCTTTGGCTCCCATGTTCCCAATTCCTGGTCTTTGGACTGTTAAGCATGCCCTAATGCAAACCCCCCCCCCCATGGCACAAAGTGCAATGCAGGCCCTCAACAACCCATTGAAAGGTGTCTTATTTTTATTATTATCATGTACGGGTTTCATATTTTCTCCAAGACCCCTAATGTCACCTGGGGACCCCAAAAGAAGCTGATGAAGCAGAGCTCTGCTTCATCAGCTTCTTCTCTCTGGCAATAGCAGCCAGATGACTGACAGGTGAATGCGGAAGTGATGTATTTACACATTACTTCCGCATTCACAGCACGGAGGGAGATCAGCAAGGGGGAAGATGGTGATCTCCCTCCCATCTTACCTCCTGACACCCACCCGAGCCGGTCCCGGGTCGCAGATGGGGCAGCGGATCAAGGGATTGAAGGTGAGGGTGCAGGCAGTGGCACTCGAGGAGGGGGAGGGGGGGGTGCGCAGCCATACAGCTCATACAAGAGATCAGCAGGCTATAGAGCCACCGATTGCTTGTATGTGAAACAGGCGGTAACGGCTGTGTACAATGGACGGGTTTTTTCTGACCATGCGCGAGCGATAGGGGGCGCACGCAAGCAGAAAAAAAAGCCGTCTTATTACGGCAACCCGCCCATGTGAGTCTGCTGTCCATCCGTTTTTTTGCAACGGGTGGATGGCCAGAGCCGTCTTTAATATTGATTGGACCCCGGGCAAACATTTTCTTTGGCCCCCCCATCATGCCCCCACACTATATGCTGACAGAGCAGAGCCACGCTGCATCTGGAATGCTGCAAAAAATATTGTCCAGATCCACCCCACCGCCTGATTGACAGCTGACTCTACCTCTCTAGAGGTTGTGTCCGCCCCATCCATCCCTCCAGTCAGCGTTGGAGGATCAGAGGGGGGTATTCCTGCGAGGAGCCGTGACTGACAGTCACCGCTCTCTGCAGAGAGAGTGAGTGCAGAAAATTAGTGATCAGCGGTGTGTGAGAGCCAACCTGTGGCAGCTTCAGTAACTAGGGGGAAGAGCGCATTTCACTCTCCCCATAATTCTACTTTCATGGTAAATGTGTGGATAATTCGCCACCTACCACTTCCACTGCATAGAATAGCAACAATAATAATAATGACACCTGAGCATGTCCCCTGGTGTCATTATTATTATTATGTCCCCATGTGTCATTAATATTATGTCCCCTGGTGTCATTATCATTATTATGTCCCCTGGTGTCAATAACATTATTATTATTATGTCCTCTGGAGTCATTATTATGTCCCCCCCATGTCCTTATTATTATGTCTCCCCTGTGTCATTATTATGTCCCCTGGTGTCATTATTATTATGTCCACTGTAGCCATTATTATTATTATTATTATTATGTCCCCTGGAGTCATTATCATTATTATTATGTCCCCTGGTGTCATTATTTTCATTATTATGTCCCCTGGTGTCATTATTATTATGTCCCCTGGAGTCATTATTATTATTATGTCCCAATGGTGTCATTATTATTATGTCCCCCTGGTGTCATTATTATTATGTCCCTCTGGTGTCATTATTATCATTATTATGTCCCCCTGGTGTCATTATTATTATTATGTCCCCTGGAGTCATTATTATTATTATGCCCCCCCCAGTGTCATTATTATTATTATTATTATTATGTCCCCCCAGTGTCATTATTATTATTATTGACACTGAGCATGTAGAACAATAATGTCAATATACCTTAAATAGCTTAATGTTCACTGATGCCTGTGTATTTAATCCTGCACTTCATAATCAAGAAGTAGAGATATTGGGGTCACTCACGTCATTGGAGAAAAGTATGTCATGTATGACTAACCTTATAACAAAATATCGGAAGCCAACCACACTCAAAGAAATATATGCTGCCCTGACTATACTGTACAGCACAGCTATATTTTTTGCTCTAAATTCCTAACGTGATCAAATGAAGTGAACACTACTTGGGACTAGTGCATTGATGTGGTGGTGATTTACACACAGCTGGGTGCAGCAGTGGTCGCTCTTTGGCTTTAGAATTAGTGGTCACTCTCATGTTATGGCCTAAGTCACTTCTGGCTATCCTAACCGCTTCTAGGTTAATAGCAGAGGCCACTAGTCTGCGTATCCATTCTTGGTCACCAGTCCCTGTATTCGGTGGTTGCTCCCTGTATCTAGGTGTTTTCTAGCCTGGCCCCTTTCTTGAGCCACTTTCTAAGTATATAAAAGCAATATCTGTATCTATATATAGTTCAGTATATGTCCACCACTGTCCTAAAATTGTTAGTCTGTATTGTTTTAGAAAAACTGTCACATGACACAAAAAGAAAAGGTAGTGACAAGCGGTGGGGCAGGGGGCCCAAGAAAATGTTTGCACAGGGTCCAGTCAATATTAAAGATGGCCCTGGGCCCTTCACCGACCCCCCTCTGCCCTTTCACTCACTTGTAGATCACATGGAGGTACCCCACAGCACGTTTCCTGCCCACCAGATCCTTCCGTTGCTGCTTTAACACAGACGCCTCCCGTGGTTTAGCAGCTCAGCTGTGTCTGGGCAGGGCCTGTTTCAGGCTGCCCGACGATTGGCTTTGGCTCCCATGTTCCCAAACCTGGTCCTTGGACTGTTAAGCATGCCCTAATGCAAACCCCCCCCCCCATGGCACAAAGTGCAATGCAGGACCTCAACAACCCATTGAAAGGTGTCTTATTTTTATTATTATCATGTACGGGTTTCATATTTTCTCCAAGACCCCTAATGTCACCTGGGGACCCCAAAAGAAGCTGATGAAGCAGAGCTCTGCTTCATCAGCTTCTTCTCTCTGGCAATAGCAGCCAGATGACTGACAGGTGAATGCGGAAGTGATGTATTTACACATTACTTCCGCATTCACAGCACGGAGGGAGATCAGCAAGGGGGAAGATGGTGATCTCCCTCCCATCTTACCTCCTGACACCCACCCGAGCCGGTCCCGGGTCGCAGATGGGGGAGCGGATGCCGGGAATGAAGGTGAGGGGTCAGGAGGGGCGGCGGCTGTCTCGAGGGGGGGGGGGGGTCACGCAGCCAGCACATACACACGATCGACAGGCTATAGAGCCGCCGATCGTGTAAATGTGAAACAGCCGGTAACGGCTCTTTACATCAGACGGGTTTTTTCTGCCCGTGCGCGCGCTAGGGGGTGCGCGCGAGCAGAAAAAAAAGGCGTCTAGTAACGGCAACCCTCCCCCCAATGTTAATGAAAGCACTTACCTTAAATTATGTTAATCCGATCTTCTTTCCTGTTGTTTTCATCTGTCTCCGATCCAGTGCTAATTCCTCTGTCCTTGCTGGGACTTTTTGTCCCACGGTGTATGCATGCGGGTGCACACCGTCCATAGACTCACCTTGTGTCTCTCCTCGTCTGCCAGCCGAAAATCTGAGCTGCAAATGAGCCCGCCCCAAGATGCTTTGCGGCCGCTGGAGAATTTTCAGATTTTCGGACGAGAGCACGCGGCAAAGACAGGGGTAATTTTAAACCGCTTTTAAACAGTTTGTTTCTTTCCCTGATCTGAATAAGCCCCCTGTCCGCATCCCCACAACCAACGCCCCAGGGCTTGTGGGGAAGAGGCCCTTGTCCCCATCGGCACCCTCTCAGTGCCAAGGGCATGTGGCCTGGTATGGGAGGGGGGGGGGGCGCTCGCTCGTCTCCCCCCTTTCCTGCCCTGTCAGGCCTATGCTCGGATCAAGGGTCTGGTATGGAATTTTAGGGGGGACCCCACATTCCCCCCCCCCCCCTTTTTGGGGATGGGGTTCCTCCTTAAAATTCCTACCAGACCTTAAGGGCCTGGTATGACTTTAAGGCGGAACCCCACACACTTTTTTTTTTTACATGGGGTCCCTCCTAAATATTTGGGGGGCCCCACGCTTTATTTTTTTAAATAAATTGGTCCCTCCTAACATTCCTACCAGACCTAAAGGGTCTAGTATTGTTTGGGAGGGGAATGCACGCTTTAAAAAAAAAGTAATTTTTTTTTCTGCAGTAATGTCAGTTTTGCTGCAGCAGGTTCTATACATTGTACAGATTTGCCACTTTA